CGACGACTACTACGACTACTACGACGACGACTACTACTACAAGACTACGGTTGATACCAGTGCTAGTTCAAGTGCTTGTGCATGCTCGTCAGTCTGAAGCTTCGTCCAAGCCTTCCAGTCTGTGAGCTTGAGCCCCCAGGCTGTCTAGAAAGCACGATAGTCCGGCAACTACACTCCTCACGCGACGACGAATTACTAGCTACTACTCTCTACGCATGTATGGGTCGCCGGCCCAGCCAACTATGCAGGTACGAGGCAATATCTGCGCTTACGAGGGAGTTGTTGTTTCAGCATGTCTTCCTGCATTGTGACTTCGGCAACCACTCAACATCCGACAATAGGATGGTTTTAATCCGCCCGACCTTCTGGGTTGCTCTGGCACACCCGGAGGTGCTCCAGCACGTGTGGGAGCTCATCCGTTACCTTGCTTCAGGGTCTTCTTCACGATTGTTTCTTGCTGGCCTTGCCATGGTTAGGTATGCTAGGCACATGGCTATTTTTCTTGTCGTTCCTTTCTGTCCTTATTCTCTTCATGTTGCTTGAGAAAGCGCCAGCGACTGAAGTGGAAGTCGTAGCTTGCTTTACCAGGTTGCATGCGTTCGCCAAGCCGCGGCTTGCTTTCCACCGAAGATGCCGCTCCTCGGATAATCCGGGACCCGAGCCGTAAGTTAAGCCTTAAGCCTCAAGCCCTAGCACTCAAGTTTGATCAACATCGACAAACCACCCAGTAGACTCACGCTGGAGCACCAACTGGGCAGATGGCTCTGCGGCTCTTGCGCTGCTCTTATCTACGGATCCTTTAGCGAATGAAATCCACACAACCTCGCAGCCAATTTTCCGAGCAGTTTGAGAGCCCGCGGCAAGGGACTGCAAGGCATGACTGCTGTGAGAAAGGAAGCCTTGCGGCAACCTATCACTCCACTTCAATCTCGATGCAGCCACAGATGCAGGCATTCCTCACTCTGAAGCGAGCGCTGCAGCCGTCGCGCGAGGGTTTCGAAGTGATAGCCCCAGGCTACCTGTGAGGGACAGCGGGTGATGGTTTCGTGTACGTGACTGGGCTTGAGGCTCGATGCTGACATGGGGTGTTGGAAATTAAGGCTGCCACATTCCAGTCACTAGCGCTGGCAAAGCCTAGGGTGTGTCACACACCCAGCCAGTCTTTGGAATTGCTAGGTGCAAGACGTCATCTCTGCAGCCGAGTTCATCTCATGCTCGGACAGTTCTATGCTGGTCCGTGCACAGGATGGCAGCTGAAACGTTGCCGCGACTATGTTCTCAAGATCATCGTCATCGTATCACCCTCGCGATCCCGACCAAAGCGCACTGTCTCAAACTATCAAAGTCGAATCCACGAAGCAGTGCCTCCAAGGAGGCAGCTGACGCCACCTTCTCGAACCTGAAGGCCAAGAATAGTCATGGCTTCAGACACTGCTGGGCAAAGAAGATCTACAGCACAATCGTGAGGTGAACAACGCGCAACGGCGATGACTCGTGCTTATGTGGCAGTACATAATGACATATTGTCAGTTGCATTGAGGCATGACGAGGCAAAACTGTGATGTCACGGAATTGTGAAACATACTACTGTGCCACTGTCATGCTTCAACACGACAAAGCTCAGGCTCCACTCAGCGAGTGACTCGTGACCTCTTGGCTGAAATGGAGCCAAAGGTGCCCGAAAGCCCTAAACCCAACTCTCCCCAAGCCAATTTAATGTCTCTCGAAACAACCCAGCTGGTTGTACAAGGACTCATGCCGGTTGCCCTTGACAGCTGCGCTGTTGTTGTTCTTCGTACCTGCTGGTCTTGTTTCTGTGTTGATGATGCAGCTTATCACGGCTCTGATGTTGCAGTTTCTATGGCCCCGGAATTCTCAACTTCTTCAATGAAGGGGCCACTTGTGGGTGAAGCCGGCGAAATAGTGGTGTGGCAGGTTGTGGAGGGCTCCTGCAGTACGTGTGACGGAGGTTTAGTTTAAGTTTGGGGTCAGTACAATTTGGGACTGCGGGGCCCATTGGGTTGAAATACGCAAGGGAATGGCAAGGCTTTTGGTTTCTCGTACAGCTGTGCGCTTCAGATCCTGGAATATTCGGGTTCGCCTTTTCCAACAAATTGTCGGTGAACCGCATCTTGATCAGCAGAACTGTAAGCGTGTTATGATTATCACCATCATGGCCATGATACCATCGTCCTCATCATCACCATCACCAGCATCATCATCGTCAGCGTCAACATCCTCATTATGCATCCCCTGCACCAACAGCACATGCAGCAGGAGCATCTAAGTCAGCAACACCGTTCCCTGCCAGTCAGGGTCCTCCGAATGGCACCTGCAGCAGCACTATACCACCTGCAAGGCTTTCGGGGCTTGGCCAGGAAGTGCAGACTTTAATCATCTTTAATCGTCTTGGGCAAGGTGGAGCAACCACGCAGAACCACTCCAAACTTACTAAGGCCGTAATCTTGAAGACAAGCAATCCGCATGCCCTGCACGGCACCCTTCCCAAACGGATGTTCCTTTGCCACCTGGTCGATCCCACTGCATAGGGCTGTATGTTCAGTGTCCCTCATTTTCTGAGCCACCTGGTTTCAGAAGGCGGCCCATCTCGTGCATCGCCTTCATGCGCTTTCATGGGTGTAGCTTGGCTCGGTTAAACCCTCGCAAATCCAACGGCTGTACCCTGCGGGGAAGAAACAGCAACAAAGTCTTTGTTCCTTCTAGAAACTGCCACATAAGTCTTCCTTCAGGGGAAATACATACATGTAGAGCAGAGGACAACTGTAGCCGTTGCATGACGGTGCGTGCACGCATGCTAGGGTTTCTGGGCACAGCCATGGGCCAGAAGAAGCGCATGTGAGCGCGTCGGCTTTAGGTGATAAGAGGGTTTGAGACGTGTACTTCCTTTGTCGATTCGGGTTTCTGCTTCTTGACATCTGCCGGCTTTCTGTCGGCGGCCTCTGTTTCAGTGTTGCCCGTTCGGCATCGCTAGGTCTGCTAAAATCCATGTGGAGCAAGCCAGCACATGGCCAGATTCAAAAGACATGTAGCTCGACACGCCACCAAAAGACGATGGTCAACTTCCATGCCGCAAGCATAAACGGGCCGAGAGAAGATGCTTCAGCTTCCCACAACTCCCACAACTCCGCATAATCTATCTCAGTGACATCTCCACACACCATACCCCTGATACAAAACTATGTTCATCCGAATGCACGTTAGCCCCAAAATAGAGCATCACAACTCTGTGTCTGTCTGATTCTCTCTTCTCTCTCTGAGTCTGAGCCCGCAGAGCCCTAAGCCGAAAACACGGAAGCCTTGAATTCACACTTTTAGACTTTTACTTAGCCTTTAGTTTTCAAACCCCAAACCCTGAAATCTAAACCCAACGTCCAGATGCTCAGCTCGCGGCTCGCTTTGGATTGAGCACGTGTTCGAGCACGTCCGTACAAATTACCAAATCGAAGGATTCGTCCGGTAGCCTCACGTCGCTTCAGGGCTCCAACAGACTAGGGTACTTGCAAGCAAAGATCTGACGGCCAAGGGACGGAATGCTACCAATGTCAGAGACGACATCGATCTGGCCGTAGCCTTGCCTTACATTGGGTGCCGGTTTAGCTAGGCATCGCTCGTTCCTTTTGGCACGGCACCTGGCATCCCAAACCCTGGCTCCCAAACTACGGGTAGCTCTCGTTCCTGACGGTGCGCGCTTCTTGTCGCAGGTGCCGCTATTCTAGGAATTGAGAAGTCGCACTTGCTACCTGCAAGCCGAAGTGGCGGGCGACGAGCTGCTACGAAGCGAAATAACAGTGAGAATTGCTTGGTTTTCATTTTGGTCATATGTTGTCAGTTCCTTGCCGCTGGTCTGTTGGGTCTCCTCTCTTAACCTCCTCCGCAGTGACTCCCCCCGAAACAAAAACGTGGATTTTGGCAAACAAGCCCCAGCGACCCCGGCCACATTAGTCGTTCACCTGCGACCTGGCCGAGGCGGACGATGCGAAGCGTGTACTATTGCAAGTACTGTTATTTCTATCACATTCTTTGTAGGTATGACTGTTACGAATGCTCCTGATGTCAAAATCACCCTGTCTGTCTTGCTTGTTCAACACGATTCACCATTCAGCATCTGGAACACATCCAGCGAGCAAGCTGACTTGCATGCCACTTTCAAAAACTCTCTCAGCAGAACACGCAGGCAGCACTAAAAAGCCGGCAGTGGCCCCTCCCCGGCCGTCCTCAACATTCCTGAATAGCACAGTCTGTACTTACTGAATAAAGATGAGGGAAGACAAGCCCGGACGATTGCTAACCTGCAGACTGCAGGCGGGCCGCAAGAAGACTGACCCGGCGATACCTTCAGTGCCGTTGTAGTGCATGGCATCCTGCGACATCTGCAAGAGTTGCAATGCACTTAAACACATACCAGTCAGACCGTGCAACTTGAACGCCACCGAAAGCAGGCGACGTGCTCGCGGCGTTGATCATGTTTTGCTTGCGGCATCTGCGCAGGTGCATGGCAATTGAATTGCTCCTAAACCTTGCGGTGTGCACGGTAGAACCCTCTGTACAGAATGCAGCACCGGCTTGCCTACGGGCCCCTGCACGCACCTGTCTGTACAAACAACAAGGGCATGCGTGGGCGAAGGACAAGGGAGGATGGTTTGCACGAATTTCTGGAAAATCAAAGCATACCAAGATCTTGGAAAGATGTTGGACCCGCCCCAAAAATTGTAGGTCCGCGAGTCGGAGTAATAGCTGTACAGATAGAAGAGAGGCACCCAAGCCGGCTCTAAGGAAAGGTCTGCACATGTGTGGAGAACTTCTTGAAGCCTCAAGCCACCCCAGGACCAACGTAGCGAACTGCGGTGGCAGGCGTCTCAGTCTGGCAACGCCTGAAGCTTCGAGCTTCAAAAAGCTCCTCGGCTTCACTCTCCTCCCTCTCAATGAAGGTCTTGCGCACCTGTACCTTCTGCTGGCCCCGAGCTGCAGCCTCGGCCTGGATTCGCTCCTTCGGTCTCAAATGAAACTTACAACTTTCATGAAGCTACAGTACCTGTTTTGAAGTAATTCACAGTGAGGATGAACACCGCAAACTGGCCAAAACAACACAGACGAGGACCAACCGAGGCTCTTCAAGGGAGGTAAGGCGGACTCGCGTGCAGAAGCGCGGAGTGCTTGCCTCGTTGAGTCCTGGTGCCTGTGCTCCACCATTGGCACGTCGGTAAGCAGTCTTCTGCAAGAGGTAGGCGTCTTTCAAGCGGTCTTGAACACGGGACCATTCTTCCCGAGCCACTGCGCATTGGAAGTACAGTAGCTCCTTTCCGTCCAAGAACTGGTAAAACTGTAGGCTTTCACCCAGGCACTCTGCTAAGGCCTGCATGTACCCGGACAGGTAGAAGCCATCAATGCCATACTTCGCGGGGTCATAGCGGACCCAAGTTGCCAACCCCAAGTGGTTGCCCGCATCGATTCTCGTGACATCTTCGTGTTCTTCACCAGAGCGCACGGGCATTAACGGAAAACCCCGCTTGAAGGTTTGTATGGTCAGCACAACGTAGAACTGCTGATCCAATGCACGAAGCCGGCTGATCCCGGGTCGATTAAGATAGTACTCTGCAACTCTCCTACCTGATTCCATGGCCTCATTTAGCTGCGCAGCGGCCCAGTTAGAAAGGTTAATGCCGCTAGGCACCCGAAAGATGTGGTACACGTTGTACACCCCCTTCTCCCCCGCTGACCGGCAAAAGTTGATGGCTTCGAAGGGCTGTGATGGGCTCATGATTGTCCTCTGGGCGGCAAGCAGAACAGGATCTCCGTCTTAGGCCTTAAGCAACTCCCAAGGTCCTAAACTTAACTTCACGCAAAAATCGGAAGTTTTCCAAGGCCCGAGGGTCTGAGAACAGTCGCCAGCTTCTGGATGATTGCGCTGGGTGCGCATGTGAAGCTCCACAGCCTCAGCCGGGTCGTAAAATTGGGTCTGCAGAAGCTCTGTCCCGATCTCACCGAAGAGCACGGCAAACACACGCAAAACTTTCCAGGATGCCCACCGGCATATGATGGCATCTCCTGGTGCCTCTTCTCTGCCGAAACCATGGAAGCAAGTTGCTTAGCACACAAAACGAAGAGGCCTTTACTTAAAGACCATGCGAGGCACCAGCTGCTCCTTCACGGTGAAATGCTCGGGGCTCGATTCTGCAAAGTTCTTAGCCCACCATGCACGCGACTCCGGCCGGACGAAGATTTGCGAGGGATCATCGGGGGCATCTGCCACCTGCACGTCCAGCACCGTGAGCTTCACCAAACTTCCGCCCCACGGACAGCTGCAGTAAGAGAGGCTGACTGACTTAGCTTCCGCAATGCTGTTCCAACCAGCTGGACTGAACAAATGAGGAACCAGGTAACACCACTCCTCGACGTTCTCGGGACGTGCTGCCATGGCGGAGTACAGGGGAGGGTCGCCGTGCGCGGCACAACCGCAGAGCTGGGGCAGGGGGTGCTTTCTTTACCAGCTCCCCTTGGGAGCGCTTCGCGCTTCAGCCAAGCCCAACCGCGGTGGCAGCTCTTGTTGACTATGGTCCATGGGCTCTGAAGACAACACGCAAGTTCAACCCCGGCTCCGTCCGATCCGTGTCCTGCGCCGTGTACTTGAACCCGGCATCCTCCATCACTGGCTTGCAGGGCGCCGTCCCTGCTCCAACATCCAGCACCTGAGCGTGGAGTCACGGTGGTCTGCGTGATCTAAGACTGGCTTATGATCGCACTTGCGAAACCTTTCGGACAGCCTTGGAAGGACAACCTCTGAATAACACGCTAAACAAAACCCGCAAGACCAATGGGACGCTGTTGAGCCCTGCTGCCTGCGACATCGTTGGAAAAGCTACCACCGCTCTCGCGATCTGGTGGCATTTGAGGGTGCCTCCCTTGCGCAGGTCCTGGCGAGTGGAAGCCAAACAGGAAATCATGCAAACACTGATGCGATGCCACCGTGGTTCGGATTTTCCTGGCCACCAAGCCCGAAACTTCTTCACACATTTCATTTTCTCCTGAACCCTTCCAACATGGACACAGCAATCCGCAAGCCCTCTCCGACACCTGAACATATGTTTCATAAGGTACCCGGTTCAGCACTGGACTTCGTGGCTACGGTTTTCGAACTTCGGGCATCCACAGCCAGGATTGCTAGAGCTCGATGTTGGCCTGTCTCACTGCAGTCCTAATGCGTCCATGCAAAGGAAACGCACCGGTTCTCTGATCACGCCCCTGCAATTCCTAAATCCCAGCAGCCATTAACGCCTTCCTCCTTGTCCTTGTCTCTTCCAACCCCTCGCACTCCCGAGGCCTAGGGTCTGTGGAGGTGAGCACGAACGTCCGAAGTCATCACGGGGCCGCCTCCTCTCGCACCCGGTGTAGTAGGAACTCCTGCTGCTCCGGCAGAAGCTGTGCGAGGCCTCGGGATTTCCAAGTCTTTCTTAAGCTCAACTTGTAGGAACCTTAGGTTTCTTCATTGATCCAGAGTTTAATAAGGGAAGGACACTATCGGGATGTCGAGTTTGGAACACCACTCGTGTTGTGCATTTAAAAGGTGGAACGCTTCGATTCCGACCTTTACGTCATGTGCCCATGGTGCCAATGCCGGCTGCAAAAATGCCAAAGCATCCCTCTCTGCATTCTGCTACTTTCCGTGAAGGATTGCATCCCGAGTCTTGCAGCAAGCCAGTGCAAGCGTCCGAGGTTTGCAGAAATCAATTACGGCAGGGACAAGGCCTTGCAAGCCCTCACGGAATGCATGCCCTCCGCCACACTTTCCCGTCGAATGTAGGAATCTCCATGGTCCATGGCAGCCCCAAGTATGTACGCCTGAATGAAGCATTCAGCCTACAGTGAGGCACTTCTCCAATTTCTCCAAGGCGAAGTGTTGTAACTAGCAGCTAGTTGTGGGTGCAGTGTGGGTACTCTTATGGGATTCCCGAAGACGCCTAGCATCCGGGGCATGCCCGTTTGCAAGGCGGGAGTTCAACAATGTGCTAGGTCCTAAGGTAGTATATGTTCTCTTGCCTTGGCTTAAACAAACATGTAGTCAACAAACAGAACACCCGGAGGTCTTAAACTGAAAAAACTCCAACTCTTGCCTCGGGAAACCCACAGCTGGCGCCTTCGCCCCCGATCTTGCTCTTCCGCGGAAAGCAGGTGTCGTAAATCTGGCCGGGATGGACTCTCGCAGCTGGGACGATGCAGGCGAGACTGCTCATATAAAGGTCTCCGAACCCGCCCGTGGAAAACAGTAGGATTTAGTAGGATTTAGGATCCTGCGTTGACGGACAATGAGACGTGAGGAGAGCTCAGCATGATCTTAATCCCTTAAAGATTGCACGGGGAACGATCCATCTCAACGAATGTGTGCGTGAGCCCAGTGCACGGTTCATGCTCTCGGGTGCCAAAGCTTCGGGTTTCGACAGACATCTCCTGCCAAGTCATGCCAAGTCCGTTCTGCCCTGAAGAAAATCTCGAGGGTTCTGTGTTGTGGTGCAGAACACTGGTGCAGAACTTCCGCAGTCAGGGACACGCAGCCAGTCTCAAACTAGAGCAACAGCGTGCGCACACTGATACATCGAAACCACCAAGCTCATTGACACAAATGGGGGCGCAACTGCGCGTCCTGCTCACAGCTATGAGGCACTGAGATGAGGATTGTCTGCCACGAGCTCCGCTCACAACCCAGCCACCCCTACAGCTGCACCAGCAACAAAACCAATTCAGCTCTTTCCGACTGAGTCAGCGGACAGCACGCCTGATGACAGCCGGGCTGTGTAGGGCAAAAGAAATCACCAGTACCGTAGGCATCGCAGCAGCCGTAGTTCTCCTCAGTTCAGCTTCAGGTACAATCCAGATTTGCGGCATGATGACCGAAAAGCCGAAGCCTTTGTCAGTTAGCACATAGAACCGACCTTGGGCTCCCTCAATACCTCCCAAGACTCCAGACCACAACACAACCTAGGCAGCACACCATGCAGCAATCTGTTACCGCTGCTGCAAAAAACCCGTGCCCGACAAACCGAAAATCCGTAGAGTGAGACACTAATGCTCCCTTTTAGGCTCCAAGCCCTCGCCTTCACCTGCACCAGCCGCCCACACAAGCGAGAGTAATTGTCATGCTCCTTGTCGTCGTCGTAGTACTAGTAGCAGCAGTACTAGTTGTTTTGCCACCCACCGAGCAAGCCTGTGGCAGCTCAGTGGATGAACGAGTCTCGCGACATGGATGCGCAATTCGACGTTCAAACTATCAGACTGTGGAATGACGCCCCCGCTCTTGTAGAAGCTCGAACGTCGAACCAACAATTAAAACAAACCATCACTTAGTCTCCGTAGTCGTAGTCGTAGTCGTAGTCGTAGTCGTAGTAGTAGTAGTAGTAGTAGTAGTAGTAGTAGTCGTAGTCGTAGTCGTAGTAGTGGTAGTAGTAGTAGTAGTAGTAGTAGTAGTAGTAGTAGTACTAGTAGTCGTGGTGGTGGTGGTGGTGGTAGTAGTAGTAGCAGTAGTCGTCGTGGTGGTGGTGGTGGTGGTGGTAGTGGTAGTAGTAGCAGTAGTAGTACAGGAGCAGCAGCGGTAGCTGTAGCAGGAGCTGCAGCAACAACAGGAGGAGGAGGACTAGACTAGTCGCCGCGGTGGTACAACTGCTTATGGTGGAAGTGGTGGTGGCGGCGGTGTTCTCACGCTGCTGCTTTCGTTGCTGAAACTGAAGTTGATGCTGCGGTATATGCTGAGCTTATCTTTTGTGTACATTGATTGTGTTGCTGTAAGTCCGTCCGTTTATCAAGCTGCATGTCTTCAGCAGTGGATCCTCTATCCCGATCCAGTTACTTAGCCCTGGCGACAAAAGTGCGTGTCCAAGAGTCAGCACCACACCTGGCGGAGAAGCTGTGCATTTCAGACCGTCAGTGTTTTGACGAAGACCAGGTTCACCGAGGTATTTGTGCATGCTGCAGCTCTTCAAAGTCGGAACGCTGCAGCACATGGCCCAGAATAGTGAAATGTAACATCAGGCTATTCTACCTTGGCCCGGGGACAAAGGTTGGCCACCCGAAGTTCGACCGCCAGATGCTTGAAACAACCGGTACCAGATTCTCTAGTCCCTAGGCTCTTACAGAGAGATATCGATTTGAGGTCTGGCACTCCAACATCCGTCAGAAGCATGGCAGGTCTTAGGCCAGCCAGAGGAAAGGCCCTCAGTGTTACAGGCTGATTGGAAATCCATGAAAGCACCTTAACATACCCCAACCCTCGAAGTCCCTGTGCAAAAGACTGTGCTTACCGGAGGTACCGGCGAGCTCAACCCTATTCTTTATCATGTTCTCAACCGTGTTGTCCATCGTCTTGGTAGTCAAAGTAGCGACAAGGTAATCAACCAAGTCGCGGGGAACCGAGTAATGCTACCAAACTGCAACTGTTATCAAGACGCTTCAAGAGCGCTAGGGGCAAGATGGAGAAGTGGCTGGAAACCTATGATCTCAGCGCCAGCACTGGGCTCCCGACGTGAAACCTGGGCCAAGGAGTCAGATTTTCAAATCTTTCAGCCACGGGAACGCCTTGTCCATGCCACGCACATATGAAGGCCAAAATTCGTGCTTGAAAACGCCTCAATACTACTGAGTTACAAAGGTTCCGGGGCCTTCAGTAGGCCTACACCCTGACATGTGCGATAACGATGATGACGGTGACCAGTGCTATCAGGCGCTACCAGCACTTGTCGGAATATTACAATTCTGAGGCTTACTATTGCTGTGGCCAAGGACTATTCGCGATTGCTTGACAACCCTCTGCCTGTGATCACTGGTGCGTTACCTTCAGGCCATTGAATCGACAAACAAGCTCCTGGTTGCGCTCACTTGTGGTACACATGCCAGCACTACGGCACCTGGAACGTTCTGTGCTCACTCAATACACTAGACGAGAAGCTCTTATTCTCCGTCTCCCTGGATCTCCGGGATATAGCCCCTAAAGTGTAATGCTCATTGAAACGACTCCAAGGTACCCCGGACAATCACCGACACCCCCTCCCCATCCCAATACCAACACTCGATCAGGCAACCAGAAACCAGCCAATTCAAGGCAAGAGGAGCTCTGGTTCTCCAAGTCCATGGTCCACTCGAGCTGGCCTTGGCTTTATTATAGCCACAAGACTCTTTTTTCAACCATATGAACTCCTAGAGCCTAGTAAGCCTAGTATGTCTCAAGGTTGATGATGCAGTTCAGGGCGGGAGTTTTGTTCCATGGCAGACACGTGGATAAATTGCCTCAGTGAGTGATGGCCGCAAGAGAGGACCACCTGTAGCCAGGGCACACAAGCAAGCATTCTGAGTCAGCGAAGTGGGATCTCTGGTCTGTGCGCTCTGCACAAGATCCTTCCAGCCTGCGGTGCGGCGGACTCGGCGTTTGAGGATGCAGGGATGTAAGGCCCTCAAAAACCACCGAAGACTGTCTGTCTGAGGGTCCCAAAAAACTGACATGCAGAATAGCTTTTTCGCGGACTCACGCCTCCTGTGAGCGCTTGCTTCACCACCCTCTGCTCTCAGCCGTGCAGCTGGAAGTCTACCAACACCGTGAACCAGGAGGGCTCAAAATCTAATGTTCGAGGCTGGTAATCTCTTGCGTTGAGGCTTTAACACTTCGGCCGGAAGCCTTTCTGTCGACGCCGCTGCCACAGGCGGTGCAGCAGTGGAAGAATGGGCGCAGGGCCAAGGAGCAGCCTCAAACAGCTGCCGGAAGCATAGGCGCAAAGGTGAGGACTCCAACATTAGTGGTGTCAATACCCTATAACTGTATCAAGTGGATGCACTCAACTCCAGGTGCTAGCTTTTCAGCTATCATGCTCACGGCAGGCAAGCACAGTTCTAGGATTCAAGCTTTGAGGGTTTTTGAAACTACGGCAAGCCCTGTCTTCTACGCCTGAACTCGCCTACCGAACTTGTGTTCAGCTCCGCCAGAAGAAGCAACATGAGGAAACAACGTGCTCAACAGAAACTGAGACCAGACCCACGCTAAAAGTGCTACAAGCACGGAGAGCCAGAAGGGCGCAATCCAAGGAAGAGCTACATTGAAGAGGATCCTCAACACGGCTCTTCCGGCCCGGCTGATGTTTGCTGAGGTTTTCAGTGGAGCACGCCAGGCGCCAAACACCCAAGCATGATGTTCGAAGCCGGAAACGGTTCATGCTGGGATGTCGACTGGGCTTCGTGGCTCTGTGGTTTCACGGTTTGGTTCAGGCATGAAGCCGATCTTCTTTGCCGCACGCACTGCGCAAGTGGGAACGGTTTGGCCGGATTGGCAAGACGATGGGGCATTCGACGGCAGAGCGAGCTATGGTGAGCAGACACTTGGGTGAACCTTCCGGTCACGGAGACCCGCTCCATCACCCGTCTTGACACATCGACCTATGATACATTTGCTCCAGACCGGTCGGCCCCAAGCCCAAAGCATCGCTCAGCATTCTGGTTCAGAAGGCTTCTGCTGCTGCGAATCTTGGAAGCAGATCCCCCTTGTACATCTGAGTTGAGTTCACCCATGCTCGCATGGCAGAGGAAGCCTTCCGTCGTAAGAACTTAGAGCATTGGCATGCCCTTCGCGAAGCATTGTAGAAGCATCACTACGACGCCAAGAGAGTGCTCGTGTCTGCAGGCTGTGCAGTCTATTCTGTCCACGTCTCAAGTCGGCCCAGCCAGTGTCTAAAATTGCACTGATTTCAGGGATGACCTGGGATGTAGGCCTCAGAGCTACTTGACAGTTGGGCTCATCCGAAGCTGAGAATTCAAAGACCGTCCTCAGCGAGCGTCCTCATCTGTAGAAGTCGACAGCTCCTCACATGAGCTGAAGTACACTCCGCGTGCGACTCTCTGGCCCATGGCCGTCACCTTCAGCACCTAAGGACCTACCTCCTCATACCTCCTCAAACATACTTGTCGATCGAAACAGTCCACGCACACAAACCGCATGTATGACACGCTTGCGCTAAGTCAGTTTACTGATTCACCCAACCCGACCACCCACGCACCACTCTCTCTTGCGTAATATCCCCCACGATATCCCACGTCACAATTGTGCATGCACGCAACGCACATACAGCGACAAAAAATGGAGCCAAGACTATGCACGACATGACATTCATGACTCTGCGGAGCAGCACGGAGACAACGTCGCCGGCATGGT